ACCAGTGGGACGGGGCCGGAAGCTCCAGCTGAGTCTCAGTGCGTAATTAGAGCATCCAGGGGCCACCCCGGCGGGCACAGCACGACTGTCGGCTCCTGAGGCCCAGCTGGTGTTTCGCTCAGCCACGGCACCTCAGTGTCGCCGAGTAATGGCCGAAGCCGCCCTGATTCCCAGAAGCTGTGAATACGCGGCTTTATATGGCAAAGGGATTTGGCAGCTGCAACAAGTGAAGGACCTTGAGCTGGAGGAGGAGTCTGGGTGATCCAGGTGCGCCCAATCCAACCACAGGACCCGCTACAAGCAGGAGGCAGGAGGGGCGGAGACGTGGCGAGAGGCTTTCCTGTGGCTCCGAGGGGTGGGCGGCCTGCTGGTCACAAGCCAAGGAATGTTGACAGAAGGCAGACAGCTCTCTCCTAGAGCCTCGAGAAAGACCAGGCCTGACAACACCTTGGTTTTAGGACACGTGACCCGTCACAGCCGTAAGGTAACAGTTTTATGTGCCGTTTTACGCTACACGGTAACTTCATAGGCTGCCCTTACACATTCCTCAGACCCGTGGCGGAAAGCCACAGAACCTTACCCTTGCACGCTTCTGGAAGCCGGGAGGTTGACGTCGCAGCAAGGCTGTGCTCTCTGACAGCCTAGGGGACAATCTTCGGTGCCTCTCTTTTAGCTTCCGGTGCCCCCAGTGTGCCCGGGCATTGCAGGCAGGACTCACTGTCTGCACCTGCTCTGTCTTACAGCCCTACTGGGTGAAGGCCCACCCTACTCAACGTGCCTGTCTTAACTAACTCCACCTGCACTAATCCTTCCAATTGGATCACACTCTGCCGTTCCAGGAAGGAAATGGCGCTGGGGGGCGGGGGCACCCGCCACCCCAGTCAGAGGGTGCGGGCCCGGAAACCCACCTGGGAAGTCTGCCGTGCCTGCCGAGGGCGGCCATACCCAAAGGCCTGGCCAGGAGGGACAGGGAAGTCGTGACTGCAGCTTTGGAACATGTCGGTAGGCTTGAGTTTTATGGAATTATTCTTTATTTTTGTTGAGTTTCATCGGGTCTTTGTATATCTTTGCGACCAATCCTTTATCGCTAGTATTGTGTGAGAAGATTTTCTCCCAGTCAGTGGATGTCTGTCTGGTGTTTGTAACGGCTCTTTTCGCTCTCTACCTTGATGTAGTCCCAGCTGTGTACCTTCCCTTCTCTATCGTTGCGTTGGGTGCTGTGTCTTCAGAGATGTTACTGAGGTGTGTGTCATGTAGTGTTTCGCCCATCTTTGCTGGAATTACTCTTTTCTAACCAAAAAAGCGATTCATTCTCATAGGTAGCTGGTAAGAGCTGAAGGGCGTCTTCTAGAAACGGCGGTGCTGAGAATAGGGGGTGCTCACTCCACGGTCACTCGCTCTGCGTGGCCCCTGCTTGGGCCGGCCCTTTGAGCTCGCCCGGTCAGGGGCCGGTGGACAATTCTCAGCTCCACAGGCTGGGGTGCTGTTTGCTGTTGCCGCGGTAGCCGGGAAGGCCCGAGGGTGCCGCTGGCCGCAGAATGCCAGGCCTGAGTCCTCAGCCGTTACCCAGCAGTCATTTTCACTAGAAGCTGCGGGCCCCCTTGGCCCGAGGTGCCTGGGGAAGGTGAAGGGCAGGACGCGCCTCTCCGCCTTCATGCCCGAGCCCATTGCGGAAGCCGCCGCCTTTGGAGACAGCAGAGCCAATGCGGGCTCTTGCTCAGTAGCTTTTCTGTGAAGGTTCGATGTGAACCTTCGGAGCTCGCCAGGTTTGGCACAGACAGACAGCAGGGCGAGCTCGCTGGGCGTTCAGAAAGGCAGCCCCCGGTGCCCGGCTGGGACTAGCAGGCCCCTGCTGCCACCTCCCTCTCCAGCTCCCACTCCCATTTGGGTTCTTGCCCCACTGCCCTCAGGGAGGTCTTGACCCACCAGCCTCCTGCCCAGCGTTGCAGCTTCCTGCTGCGATGAGGGCACCAGGTGGTGGGGTCTGCAGCCCCTCTCCCTGCAAGCGTTCAGGCTCTCCCCTCCCCCTGGAAGCGCTGACAGCTTGGAAGGGGAGCAAGATGAGGCAGGGGTGTGGGACGAGAGGGGCAGCAAGTGTCTCCTCTCAGTTCCACGAAAGAGAATCACTGGGCGGGGTGAGGGTCGGGCTCACGCCGACTGGGAGTCGGCCTCTCCCAGTGTCAGCTTTTTGCCCAGGCCAGAGGCACAGTGTGGCCTGTGCTGAGAGACAGGAAGTGGCCAGCACGACTGGGGGAATGACCCCAGCGCCATTAGAGCCCATAGGGCCCATCCTGCTCAGGCCGATTTCCTCACCTGTGCAACGAGGCTGCTAAGTGTGCAAGGGTTTCCTGAGCTGTTTGTCCAAGGTGCTTAACGTGCCAGCGCCTGAGTGCCCGGGGCTGCTGCTGTCAGCGCGCTGGTCAAGCTGGTCAGTGGGGCGGGTGCTGCCACCCCACCTGGCTGACTGCTTCCTTGTAGGCCAGTAGGAAGCTGCCTTCTGCAGAACTTGCTTTTGGGGCTGCCAAGGATTTCCTGAGGGGCCAGCTGGATGCAGAGCCAGCCAGGAAATGGCTGAAACCGCCCCTGACTGCAGGGAGTTCAGCAGAGGCGGG